ACAGTGATTGTTCATTGACCCATCACCAACCCTGTACGTACCCACTGTGTCTTAAGCACTGTGGTAGACATTCGGATGTAACAAAAAGTCAGACTATACATTTCTAACCCTTGCCCTAGAGGAGGAAACAGACATTAAAAGCATTATTAATGCTATATAACTCCAGATTATGCTGAAAGTATCTGTGGAGAAGAAGTGTAAGAGGAGCTCAGGGGCATAGGGGAAAACACTCAAAGAGCAGACTGTGTCTCTGAGAGACGACATGTAAGCTGTGAGCCAGAGGATGAGTAGGAGTACGTCATGCTGAGAGCTGGAATGGGAGCGTGAGGGAGCCTTCTAGGTAGGCTGGAGGATGACCAGAAGTGAAGAGCTTGCATGGCCAAGAAACTGAAAGGCCACTGTAACCTGAAGATGTGTAGTAACCAGATGAGGCTGGACTAGTGGCCAGGAGGCAGGTCAGGCAGTATCTGGTAGGCTCGATTTGAGAGTTGAGATTTGATTTTAAGTGCAAAGGGAAGTCTTTGAAGTCCTGGGGATGATGAAGTGATCATGTTTTTGTGTCGAGGTGATAACTATTGGACCTCAGGAACTAGAAGGCAGACAGAAGAGTTAAGAAAACTTTCCTTCAAACCTTGCTTCTTAAAAAGCAGCAGCTAGAAGAGTCAGGGCAAGAACAGGCTGGCAGGGAGTGGCAATGGGGACAGGAAGGGGACGCCAGGACAGCAGCTCTCACCCTTGGGGTTACTAGCTCTGTCCTCAGGGCAGGCACTGTCTACATCACCCTCCCGGAGAGGCCAGTTGACGCCACAGGGTCCATGGTCTGAACCCGAGCCAGCTGCTTTCCCCAGAACTCACCGGCCCCCTTATCCTTCAGGCTTACGCATCCATGACTACTTGTACTTCCAAGTGCTGAGTCCTGGGGACATCCGGTACATCTTTACAGCAACGCCTGCCAAGGACTTCGGAGGTATCTTTGTAAGTTTTGGGAGGCCCCAGTCCTCTGACTCTTCGTCTTCTCACTTAGCTGAAGTGGCCCTCTCGTCCCTTCAACGAGTGCCTGAACGCGGCCACCAGAACACAGCTGAGCCCACCAAGGGCTGCAGTGCAGGCAAGAAATGCTTTCTGCTACCCCCAGGGGCACCGCGAGGGGCAGGCTCTCTCACACAGTGGGAACCAAGGGCACCAGCCCCCTTCTAAACTGTGTGATTTCAGGCAAGCCTGTGCCTGTGTGGGCCACACCAACTCCCTGCCCAGCTTTGGGAAGGCAGGTGGGGCAGGACAGACAGGTAGGCACATTGAGCATACCATGCACCAGTGTGTCCTGTGGACAGAACCCCACGTTCCTTCCAGCTGTGAGGCACCATCTCACTGGGATTGTGAGCCCGCCTGTGGTGGGCCACCCTCACACTCTCGCCCCCGGGATGTCTTCTAGCACACCAGGTATGAGCAGATCCATCTCGTGCCTGCGGAACCCCCTGAGGCCTGTGGGGAGCTCAGCAACGGTTTCTTCATCCAGGACCAGATCGCTCTGGTGGAGAGGGGGTAAGGAGTGGGCAGGCAGGCAGAGGGAAAAGCCGGTATCATGCAGCTTCAGGGAGAGTTGGTGGGCTTTCTAATAGCGTGTGTGTATGTGGGAGTAATGCTTTGAAGGTATTTTAAAAAGTGGCTCACGATCACCCCTGCCCCTCTTGGCTCTTAGTAACCATTAGAGCAAAGGGGCTTCCTGCCACCTACACAGTGGTCTGAGAAGGGGCAGCCAGCCCCCTTTCCTTCGGTCTCACCACCACCTCTTCCAGGGGCTGCTCCTTCCTCTCCAAGACCCGGGTGGTGCAGGAACACGGCGGGCGGGCAGTGATCATCTCGGACAACGCGGTGGACAATGACAGCTTCTACGTGGAGATGATCCAGGACAGTTCCCAGCGTACAGCTGACATCCCAGCCCTCTTCCTGCTCGGCCGAGATGGGTGAGGGGCCCTGGTCTCTAGCTTTATCAGGCTAGGTGGCACGACTCAGGGAAGCCAAGGGCAATCCCCAGTCCCTTCTCGCAGGCCTGATCTTGGGGCATCCTGGTTGGAGGGCAGAGAAAGACCTCAATGCTCTGGGACTCCCTGAGTGGTGGGGGGACAGTGGGTCACAGTGGGGTGCTGCGGTGACCGTTGCCACTGTCTCTCTGCCCTCCCAGCTACATGATCCGCCGATCGCTGGAGCAGCATGGGCTGCCGTGGGCCATCATCTCTATCCCCGTCAACGTGACCAGCATCCCGACCTTTGAGCTGCTGCAGCCACCCTGGACCTTCTGGTAGAAGAGCTGGTCCTAAGTTCCGACTATAAGCAACTTGGGGTTGGGAGGGGAAACCTGGATTTCAGCTAATTGGGATTTGGGGGCTGGGTGGGAACCAAGGAGCAAGGAAGAGACCGGGCCTTGGCTAGACTGAAGGAAGTTGCCACTGACCTTCTGTGTGCAAGCCCCAGGGTTTCTGGCTAGGAGGATCTGGACAAAGGTCAACCGGCTACTTCCTACCTGGCTCTCGTCTCCCCCACTAAGGTCTCCTTCCAGTGCGGTTCACAGCACCTCTCCCAGCAGTTGCTGGTGTGTTGGGACTAAAAAAACCACCAGAGACTTTTTAGCAATAAAGCTACCCATCAGGTGTTAGAATGTTCTAAGAGCACATGGTGGGAAGCGCCTTCAGAGTCCACCCACCCACACCCGTCTTGAGAAGGAATCAAGGCCCAGGGAGGAGGATTTTCCAGTGGTCCATGAGGCCCAGGGCCCAGACTGCGGGCCTCTCATCTCCAGGCCGTCCTGCTGAACAGCCTAGAAATCCCTATTCAGCCTCTGGGGGAGAAGCCTCACCCTACAGCCTGGGACTGGATGCTTCAGAGGACTCTCACTTAGGGCTTTATGGCAGAATGGGGCTGTAACCAGTGAGGAGCGCATGCTAGGAAGCTAAGGCTCCATCTCACACCACTGCCTGGCTGACTGTCACCCACCCAGTGACTTCTGGGGACCTTGGGTAACCTGTCACCCCACCCTCAACAAAGGATTCCAGCTGAGGCCTGTCACCACTCACGTTTTATTGAGCTGGGCGGGCAGGCGGGGTGCTGGCTGCTGTGCAGGAGGATTGAGAATCCAGCAGGTGCAGGGCCAGCAAGCACAGTCCAACGGGCTCCATGACTCACGGAATGGCCTGTGGTGGGCGCCTGCCCTCCCGGGGGTCCTTGGCAGGATCTGATGGGGCCCTCAGGAAGGGAGGCAGAGGGAATTGGAAGTGCTGGGTTGGAGTTTATGCGGCAGCCAACCAGAGCGCCACGCCAATGCTGTGTGGTAGAGGGTCCGTGGGGCTCCTCTAGAGCTTCCAGCCTCGCTCTTCCATGTTTCTGGAATATGTCTTCTTTCTTGGACACCCTAGAGACTGAGGCCAGGAGAGCCCCTCCCTCACTGACTCATAGAAGACTCTAGAACATCCTAAATTAAGGAGCACAAGGCCTCAGCCGTGCTGCAGGGGCCCCCACGTGCCTGTCTGAGGAAGGCCGGGCCTCCTCTATGCCCCGTAAGGCCGAGGCAAGAGGTGGGGAGCCTGGGCCACATGGGAGAGCATGAGGAGGGAAGAAATCATCGCCCTGATCCGGGGAGGCTCCCCCTCCCCAGGGAGCCCCAGCTCTGGAGGGCTAAGTCCTCCCCCGGGGAGGAAGGGAGGGATTTCCGTGAAATCGGCTCTCCTCAGATTTGGCCCTGGCTGTGGCTTGCTGCGGTCCTGTCGATTCGTGCAGAGCAGCACTGCTCTCGAGTTGCGTCCCTTTCTGAGGCCCTCAAAAGATAGCAGAATGCTGAGGGGCCAGCCTCGGTGGGTGGGAAGAATGGGCTGTGGGCCGACAGCCAGCAGCAGAAATACTGGTCGGTGTTGGTTTCAGTCCCTCTCGCCTGGGCGGAGCACCTTGGGGGAGGCTCGATGAAAACACGGAGCCTGTGCCAGCTCAGCAGTGGGGTTCAGGGTGTGAGGTCTGGTGGGGACGAAGGGCCAGGGCCCAGCCTGTCCTATCCTCTGGCAGCGACAGAGAAAATGGGGGCAGGCAGGGGAAGCAGGCAATGGGGGTGGGGGACAACTTCCTTGCAAGCCTCTTCTCTGGAGGAAGGGCCCCCTTTTCCGGCAGGGTCTGGGCTAGGCCCCTCTGGGCAGGCCAGCATCACACGTCGGTCATCTCGTCCCCCAGTTCTGCATCTTCTGGTTCTCCTTCCTCCTCCTCATCGTCATCCTCCTCCTCTGAGGTCACATTGGGTTCATCAGCCTCTGCCAGGCATTTAGGGCAGGAGCAGACAAACAGATAGTTCTCCCTGCAGGACCATTGGCGGGGGGGAGGCATGGAGTCAGGGAGCTTCGGGGACAGAGGTCCCCAGAGCTCCGCTGCCCACCAGGCCCCAGCTGACACCTGAGGATCTTGTGGCGGCTGTGGCGGCTGCGCTCCCGCTGACAGCAGTCTAAGTAGCTGATGCAGATTTCCTGCCAAGGAGAGGAGGCAGGGCCCCATATTAGATGGGCTAAGTGCTTCCCCAACTATACCCCGCCGTCCCATCTCCAATCCCTGAGCTGCCAGGCCTCACTCTGTCTTCTGCAGGTAGGCCACAGCATCAGTGTCTGAGACAAAAGGGCTGTGGTTGGTCTCAGGCCATGGTTAAAGCCAACACTGGCCAGGCTCTGAGACTGGGGTCAGGGGTCATCTCAAGGTAATGCCACCTGCCCTGAAAGAAGATTCAGATAGGCTCTGTGCCAACAGCCAGAACCCCCTCATCCATGCTGCCAGGAGTCATCTCCTCCTTTTCTTGGGAGATTCTATTTGCTGACCAGGAGGTGGCTAGAGACATCCTGGGCCCACACAGCTGCCCTTCAAATCCTGCTCTGAGATAGCATTTTGGAGTTGTTTTGGAGGTGTGGGGGAGGAACACATCCCATGAGCAAGAGGATCCCTGTCCAAGCTCATGGGGTGGGGTGGGGTGGGGTGGGGTGGGGGAGGAGAGTGGGTGGAGTCAACCCAGTAGGGGCCTCTAGCCACTGCTGCTCCCCATCCCTGGTGAGAACTTAGGAGGCCCACTGCATGCCCTCCAGGGCTCCTGGCCCCCTCACCTCTCCTGGCTTAATGTCCTCCAGCGCAGTGACATGCAGAAGGAAGTTGTTTTCTGGGAAGGAGGTCTCCGCGTTGGGAACGCAGCTGTGGTTGCCTGGTTGGTGAGAGGAGCAGGTGGTGGTGAGCACTGACCAGCTGATAACGGGCAAGCGCTGGACCCCGCCCTCAGCCTCCAGTGCGCCACCCAGTGCTCTTTGCTGAAGGCCGCAGACCGGGTCACTGCTTCCACCACCCTGCATGCTGCCTCACAGGCCAACCTCATTCTGAGTTTGCCAATGTCCCCAGAATAAGGGTCAGGGTGCTAAATGAACACCAAGACCCCCAGCAGGCCACTTCATTCTGTCTGCTACTGAACGTGTGCTGACAGCGGAGACTGGCTCTCTGAGAGCGCAGTACAGGTGTGAGACCAGCCCTCCTCTCCCATCAGGTGCTGAGGGTCTCCTGCTTTTCCCAGCATCCCCTGCCAAGGCTCCCAGGCAGCACCGGCCTGTGCTTCCCTTCCCGAGAGTCATTGCTTTCTTGGCACGGGCCCTGTCCCACTAGAGGGGTTCCCGATGAATGCAGATGGATGCAGACTCAGTTAGACGAGTGAAAACGGCTGGCACCAACTTTGCTTGACACAATGGATGTATGTATCGATTGTAAGAAGAGTTGTACGAACCCCCAATAAAATGATTAAAAGAAAACGATGGCTCAATAGGCCCAAGGAAATGCTCAAGGGAGCGCAGACCTGACCCAGCTGCCCTGAAGGATTCTCGGCAAGTATGCCTCCAGGGCCAGCCGGCCATGGCAGAAATGCCACGGAGCCCCTTCTAAATGCCACGACTCACAGCAGCTCTGAAGCACAAAGAGGCCGGATCCTTCGCAATTGAGAAACTCGCCAGTTGCTGCAAGACAGGAAAGTGCAGACCTTCTTTGACACAGGCTGACGGGACAGGGACCGCCAACACAGCCACCCTCCTCTGAGGCACAGTCTGCTTTTCTGTAAGCATCACCCTCTTTGCCCCACACTGAGCCTCTACATGGCCCTCGGGCTGTTTCCTGTCCCCGAACCCTGGGAAGTTCTAGGTACCCCACAAGCACACAGACGTAGGGGGCAGCTCACCGACCTGCCTCGATATCCTTGTACAGCTGATCGGTGAAGGTGTCCAGCTGCTCGCGGTCCCGAGGCTTCAGCTCCAGAGCGTCACAGGCGTGGACCCACTGGCTCAGGGAGCTGGGGGCCCAGGCATCCATGATCAAGGGGGTGGGCGGCTGGGGTCTCCCACTCATAGGACTCTCCATCACCAGGTTGGAGGTAGAGGGGTTTCCCACCCAAACCCCAGGTCTTTCTCAAGGGTGGGGTCCCTATCCTCCCTGTTGATATTTTGCAGTTCTGCCCCGGAAGGCGGAATCAACCTGCATCGTTCCATGCTCCCCCAGTGACTCCTAAGTGTACACAGGGAACACCTGTGCGCTTGTTATAATGTGGCTTCTGAAGCAGTAGCTCAGGTGGATATGCAAATTCTCAAAGAGGGCAGAACCAGGCCCCAAAGAAGAACTCTGGACGCCTCATTGTTCTGACCCTCTGTGTCCAGTACAGTGTTCTGGCCAGGGAACCGCTCCCTGCTCTGTCTTTAAAGGAGCCGTGGCTACCTTTCTCAGCTCCCCCACCCCACCCTGAGCCCTCAGAGGTAAGTCCAGTAGCCCTAGAACATTCTATTCTCTCCCTCCTCACCTGGTCCCGATGCCTTGGCCGTTGGTTCCAACAAGAGCGAAGAGAGACCGGAATCCATCAGGAGTGAACCACTGTCAGGGAGAGAGGGGTCCACTGCTCAGGTCACGGCCACCTGGTTCCTTTCCTGGGTCACTCTCTGCTCAGGAGGTCTTCAGTGAGCGACCCCAACCCACTGGCCGACTCCGCTCACCTGGCTGAGCGCATCCTCATAGAGGGCGTCTGTGAAGAGCCGCCGCAGAAGTTCCAGCTGGCCCTGGTCAAGAAGAAGCTCCCCATTGGCACCCAGCAGGGCCCAGAAGGCACGGTGTGAGGACAGGGGCCCACTCTGTAAGCTGAGCTTTCCCTGGGGCCAGAGGAAAGCCCCCCACATACAAAACGACACCCCAACTCACTGCCATCGAGTGGATTTTGACACACAGTGACCCTATAGGACGGGGTAGAACTGCCCCCACGAGGCTCTAAGACTATAACTACGGGAGTAAAAGCCTGGTCTGGTGGTTTCAAACTGCTGACCTTGCAGATCTCAGCACCACACGTGACCACGACACCGCCTAGGCTCCTGGAGGAAGCCCACAGAGGCTCACCCTGCTTCGGCAGCTGGCCGGCCTGCTCTCCCATGGCGTGGAAAACACCTCAGACCATCCCTATTCCCCAGCACCCCAACTCGCAGGCTGGGGCCAGTCCTTACCTCCAAGCTCCAGGCCTCCCAGACCTGGCAGCCACACCCTGAGTCCACCCTCAGGCCCATCCCGCCTAGAAGCTGGGGGTCCCGAGCAAGTCATTCTTTGACTGGAAATGGGTGTTCAAAAAGTTGGCGGTTAAGATTCTGTTTCTGATTGCTTCTAGAGGGCGGTGGGACCAAACTGCTCGCTTTCCCATTGTACCCAATTCCCCGCCACTGTGCCTGGGGGGACAAACGGTAACTGCTCGGACACGCAGGGGGCTGCCCTGAGCTGGGGCAGGCACAACGTCAGCTTCCCACAGCAAGGTGTCGAGCACTTTCAGGATGAGGCACCCAGGCCTGTGTTCATGTGTCACCACTCAATCTCCCCACTCCCAAATCTCAGGGCCACTTCAGGCCATGCAGCTAGACAGTAACAGGGACACAGGTTGTTTTACCCAAGCTCTAACCTTTCTGATGGCTGGGGTGGGACTACATGTGAAGGACATCCCACACCCTCCTCCTCAGGTACCAAAGGCAGCCCAGGTTCTGGGGGTTGGGATCACTAACCTTGAATTTGTCCCCCAGGAGTTTGTGGACGATCTCCTCCTCCTCATTGGCCGTTTTGTTACAGAACTGGGAGAAGAGCCTGATCCAGCGATCCTTATCCTTTGCCTGCAGGACGGTCCCAAGCACACCCACGTGGAGGGGCAGGCTGTGAGACTCAAGCCCCTGCCACCAGAGGGCCACAGCCAAGCACCAGCTCCAAGACCAGTGGTTCTCAACCTGGGGGTCGAACGACCCTTTCACAGGGGTCTCCTGATTCGTAACAGTAGCAAAATGACAGTGATGAAGTAGCAAGTAGAATGATGTTATGGCTGGGGGTCACCACCACAAGAGGAACTGTATGAAAGGGTCGCAGCATGAGGAAGGTAAAGAACCACTGCCCCAGAGACCCCTGCCCAGTCCAACTGTCTTCCCAAATGGAGCCAAGCCAGTCAATTCAAGCACACTTGGGACACTAGGCCGAGGAGCCACATTCTTGAGAGAAGGGGCTTACACAGGGCGGGCCTCACTTGATGTGCGGGCCTCAGTCTTGAAAAGGAGGCCCCTGTAAATCCAAGGCATGCATTGCTACTGCCTAAGTCCTCCCAGGGATCAAAGGTTACAGGGGGCAATGAGCCCGGCCGCTCTCCCACTCCGTATGTCTGACTGACAGCTGGCGTACTCCTGAGGGTTTACATAGCAAGCAGTGCTCCTTTGGGAAGCCAGGGAGAACCATGCATCCGAGGCAGGCCTGGAGGTGAGGAGGAGCCTGAGGCCAAGGGCTCACAGCCACTGAGTTCGCTCCTAGAGGCCAGGTGGGCTCACCTGCTTCACTGTGGCCACCATGCGGGCCATCAGCATGATGCTTGCAGTCTCAGGGGGATAGTGAACACTCCTGGGAAAGAGAGAAAAGTGTGGCCTAGAAATTCCTCCCCAGTGGCTGGAAGGCCCAGTCTGCCAGCTGCTGAGAACCCCAGATGCCAATCCATCTGCAGCCTAAGAGTGAACCATGGCAGTGACTTGGGCAGGGCTGTGCATCCTCAGGGGCAGGGGTACTCATGCCCTCTGTGGGAGTGTGTCCAACACTGAGGAGGGCGGGGCCTGGCGCTCAGGTGAACAGCAAGGATTGGGTTTATATGAGGATGGAGGGACAATCCGAGGGCCTGGGGTGGTCCCTTTAAGACAGCTGCAAGGCTGAGGCAGGCAGGGAGGGAGACCAGAAAGGAGAAAGGAGATGCTACTTACCTCCATGCCTCCTGCAGCTTATTGAGTGGATGCAGGGGGTCGTCCTGGGAGGGCCCTGCGCAGAGGACCCGATGGTATTGGTCAGCCGCCGCCAGCCGACACTCTGCACTGCAGTACACCGCCTGGTAGGTGGGGAGAGTCAGCACAAGGGGAGGCCTGCCGGGCATTACCTCCTCTGATGGACGCACTTCTTCCACAAACAGGCTCAGAGGGTATAAGATGAGCACACCCAGGGTGCTGGGGAGAGGCACCCTCAGCAAGGGAAGGGAAGGGAAGGAAAAGCCCCTGCCAGGCAGAGGGCCCACAGGGGCAGGAGGGAAGAGGGCAAATTCCCACCATGCCCATTTCCCAGACGCAGCCCTGGAGCAGGGAGAACAAGGCTGGAACATCTCGCCCTCTGTTGTGAGTCTCACTCCTGCCTCCCCAGGAGTTCAGCCAAGGCCTCCCCAGCAGGGTGCTCACCTGGCAGTGGGGACAGTTCTGGTGGAGGTCCTTCTTCACGGGGCATAGTTCTGGGTAAGGCAGCACCTGGCCTGGCTTCCCCGTCAGCCTTTGGGCGTTCTCCTCTGCCTTCTCGAGGGCCCGGAGGCAGTGGTCACAGGCTGGCAAGGAGTCAGACAGGAGCACGTGGGTGGTGAACAGGCTGAGGCCAGGTCTAGCCGGGCACACAGCGGGCTCAGGGGCATGCTTGAGGAGGGGGTGCATGAATGGACGTCACCTAGTTGCTCTTGGGAGCACCTACCCCTCCTGTCTGACTCCCGCTCCTCTGGCTGCAGGGGGTTGCCCCCACCCCACCCTACCCCGCTCCCTAGGATGGGCTCTAGGCTAAGTGTGGAACAGTCTGCGGTCAGCAGCGTCCAGGCATCCGACGGCCCTCTGAGCCCTGACTCGGCGGCCGGCTCTGGCCAAGAGGGCTCTGCTTTGGCATGTGGCCATGCAGCATGACGTCCAGTCCATGACACTTCATGGCCAGACTCCTGAGTTGTGCCTAAGTGGCTGCCCTCCGCCCCCGCCCCAGGGGAGCACACTGGAAGGACACACAGCTCCAGGCTCACATGCCCACATGGCCTGAGATTGAACAGAGGCACGTGCTCCCTCCCGAATGCCCGGGTCCAGAGACAGGAGATGTGAGTGTGCGTGCGCTGGGGACGTGCTCACCTCGGTAGCGATACAGTGCATTCCAGAGGAACTGCGCAGCCACCAGCGGCCGCTCCACGAAGATCGTTTCCCCCTTCCGGATCAGCTGTTTGGCAAACAGCCCCTTTCCCTGCAGGCAGAGAAGGGAGGACCATCCAGCCTCTCCCTCGTGTGCCTCCCTCTCTGCAGAGCGCGCTGTGCTCACGAAGACCGCTCGGCACCCTCCACAACGGCCTCTTCTAGAAACACACGTCTGGCCTACTTTCCGAGGGGCCCACACAGCTAGTCCCTTCCAAACAGAGGGACTGACGCTGGGGGTCTCCACGGCGGCCAGCTCACAGGAGAGAATGCACAAGATGGCCAGAGCAGGCTCAAGGCTCCCAGGAGGCGGGCTCTCCTGTGTCAGGGAGGCAGTGCTCTCCCAGTCACCACAGGCCCTTCTAGGCTCCTGGCCGTGCTGCTGTCGCTCCGGGTTGTAGAGGAACCCCTAGTCTCGGGAGCCTGTACTTTACTTCCCCAGCCAGCCGAATGAATACCTGCAGCACTCACTGAAAGGAAGGGGCTCATCTTAGCGCCAGTCCTAATGCCAGGCCAGTATGTAACGATCTGACATGGTGAACGGACGCCGAGCTCCAGCTCCTTGCTACCCAGAGTCAGGTCCATGGCCCAGTAGCACCCAGATCACCCCAGAGACTGTCAGACATGCAGAATCTTGGGCTTCATCACAGTCCTGCTGCATCAGGATCTGCATTTCAACAAGCTGCCCGGGGGATGCACACGTCTGGGAAACACTCGCAGAGCATGATGTCCATCAGGCAAGGAGGAAAGATGGGAAAACAGCGCCAGCTGTCACATTGCACACACATGCACAAGTAGACAGGCAGCACTTTCGGCTCGGTGGCTTCTCCGACCACTGTGCATTGGCACAAAAGGGTGGTGGCCCTGCCAACACTGAGCAGCCATAACACAGGGAGCAAAGACAACTGACACACCGCGGAATGTCCTGTGGCAGTGTGGCTGCTCAACACCTCCACTTTCCACTGGCACTGCTACTCCGACCAGACAGACACTGCCAACCTCAGAACAGCAGGAAGTACAGACAGTGGGCCCATGAGCCCTGGAGCTCAAGGCCAAGAACCAGTCTCCTCCAGCAGTCCATGGAGGAGCAGCAGTAAAGGAGATGCAGCGGCAGATGGGCCAAACCCAATCCAGAGCCATGGACTTGGGTCCAAGGGCAGAGCTGTACCTCCAGAGAGAAGGCATGCTCCTCTGTCTCCAGTGGAGCTGCTGGTCTGTTGGAGCCACTGACCTTGGGGTTAGCAGTTAAAGTCAGAGCAGAAAAAAACC